CCAGTTGGTCAAGACTATGAGGCTGTGTGTAAGAAGAAAGATATTACAGACATGAATTTACTGGAGAAAATCAAACTTAACCTGCTTGGCGAGACTAACGTTTGAACAGATGTTATTAGACGTGTTAGGAAAGGGGTTTAAATACTGCGCTGATGTTAAATACCAATACCGATACAAGATTTAAGTGTGGACGTTTTCAAAATGCAATTGCACTGAAAAGTATCCCGGCGTAGTATAATAGTTTACGTTTGTTGTGTGTTTGATACAATATAAAGCGAACAGTTAACGTCGACTCCAAATTATAAGACGTGCATTGGCGTAGATCTTCATACATTCATACATTAATTTGTATTTGTGTGATTTAAGAGTGCAAAACAAAACTTAACAAAAAAAAATGTAAGAGTCAAGAATGGGAATGGCGGATTTTACGGCCACAAGTCCAAATATATATATTAAGCGATATGATTAGAATATGTTTAATAGTTAAATAACTCGGTTTGTCTCTCCACAATAGATATGTCCTATTTCCGTTGCAAAATATAGTTAGCATGCATTTTGTGTCCAGGGATACAGGGACGCGTATATATGTGTGGCTTAAACAAATCAGTGCTAATCAATCTGAACTCATCGTTATATCTATATATAAAAAAGAAAAGAAAAAATGGACACAAGTGGATAAAGTGCTATTTCTATATAAAACTTTAAGAAGCAGGGGGCTACAGTAGAAGGTTGTCTTGCTGCGCATAGTTTTAATATTCAAGAAAACCACTTTCCATGAGCTATATGTGATTCGTATTGTCTACTACTTTCTGGGTATGAATGCAAATGGACAGAGGGGTGAAAGAACGGACGAATGGATCAATTCACCCATCACTATATACCGTCCAATTTAGAAAGCGGAGTGTATAGTGAATCTAAGGCAAAATAAAATGAAGCAAATCGAAAAAAAAAAAATGCCCGACATATAATTTAGCAGACTTTGTTTTGAAAGAGGTGAAAATGAATATTCCATTTTCAAAATAACCTCCTGACCCAAAGATACTAACATTAACTTCTCCATATGAAAGTTTAACGCCACTTTCAACAATATCTCAATTTAATCGTGGTGTTCTGTTTTGTTGGTGGAGGAAGCCGTGGTAACAAGAAAAAAAAAACAACTTCCGACCTCCACCGAAACGTAAATTTAACATGCTTGATAATGTCTAAACGTTGTAATCTTTTAATACTTAATTTGATAACCTCTCTTTTCCGAAAAACTAACTGATAAAAGTTGATTGAAGGAAAATGTCAGGGCAAAATTTTTTATGTGAATAAGAATTAATTCATTTAACATTATATAAAATTGTCAGCGATTATAAAGATAATCAAATTGAAAACGCTTTTATTTCGGTCTTTTGTTTAATTGTCAAGTACACAAATTTCTAGCTTGGTTTATTTTTAGAATTATACGCTACTGTGTAACACATTTCTCTATTCTAGAAAATGATATAAAATAATGAGATGCGGTATGATTGCCAAAATAGACAACTATCTACCAGAGACCAAATTTCGTAAATGTTTGCAACTATAGATCACCGTATGACAGACCCCCAACACGGAGCAAAACCATTCCCGCATATAAAAGCCAAGAAAGGCCCCGACATGACAATTATTTTTTAAATAAATTTCAAATAAACGAACGTTTTGAACAAAGATTGATGTAGAGTAAAAAATCGGATTCGAATGTGATTTGATTCCTGTGTTTTTATATTCATTTATTTTGATCACTTTGTAGATTTTCCTTGTAGTCGTTCAACAAAATAGTAAGAAATGGGGGAACAACGATCTTAAACTTAATGAATCCCTACTATGACACAATGCAAGAATAATGTTCGTGTTGTTTTGCTGGATCCTCGTCCGTGTATTGCGGAATAAATTGTTACTATTTTATTGTTTAAAAATCATCTCAGCATTATCCAACAAACCCATAGAGGTAACTATAATGAATGATTATCTGTGCTTTTTGAGATGGTCCCCACTATAGCCTGTAGTGGTATTGGTATTTAACATCAGCGTCAAAATCGTATTGACTTTTCTAACACGTCTATTGAAACATGTTGTTAATAATGAATCTGATATAAAGGTGTACAATGTAATCATTACAGCTGTTTCAATTTCGTATGTATCACATTGTGTTACATTGTAATATATTTATAAGGACAATGGTAGTATGATTCCTCCATAGGCGACAATTTTATACTGCTATTTGCCTCATCTGCTTTTTTATTTATTAATTGTTTATTACATTATGTTACTTTGTATACACATGTATGTAGTGGATGTATATTTTGACTAAACTTATATTTATTCCTATCGTCAGAACATAGATTTAACTTGTTTTATTAAAGGTGTAGAATAAAGGAAATTCTATTTGTCTCATTCACTTAATATATATTGTCATCTAAATTGTTTTTAGTGTTTTCTTTTATGTTTAACCCCTACACGATTTAAATCTATTCATCATATTACTTGTAGTGTTTCCAGAATATGGTATCTATACGTGTGAATGTAATGTGTTTGACAAAAGCGTGAACACAAATACACCGGCTTATAGAAATTAAAAGTAAATGACTGCTTTAAAAATCAAAGCGCGAAAGCGCTGTAAGGCATTTATTACAGGTTGTGTGTATTTTTAGTCCAGTTATATCATTATCTTGCATAGTACAGTGTACTTATCAGAGCTGGCTTTCAGTATTTAAGATTTAGAGTTCTCTAACGATATTGAACAAATTTTATGAATGTCATATTTTGAGCACTATATGAAGGCGATTGTTCTCACTTGTTTATGAACTAGTGCATTATGTCCAGTTTGTACCTTTTTTTATCTATGTTTATAGTCAAATACTGTTTAAAATAGTTAGGCATTTTCTTTTTAGTAATAAGTAAATGTTATCAACTGTATTTTATTCAACTTTGCAAATGTGGTTTGTTACTGGTAAGTATGGATGATAGTTGTTTCATTGGCAATCATAACACATCTCCTTATTTATATAATGATTTATATTCAACAACCTCAGGTACAAAAAAAATGTATGTAACTAAACTATGATGGGAAACCTTTGACTTCTTTCTTTTTATATAAACTTTTGATTTGGTACCATAGAACTATGTAGAATAAATGTACATTGCAACATGTCAACTCTTTCAATGACAATACTTTTTTTAGAAACTAAAACTCCAAGCAAAATTATATCTCTAAGTATAAAGTAATTTATGAATGAAAAAAGGAGTTCTTAATTAAGAAATAAACTGATTCGCTGAGCGCAACTGGATACACCCGCAGAGGTCCAACCCTGAACAGTTGGGGCAAAAATGGACACAATATTCAAGCTTGATACAGGTCTGAATTTGAATTGTAATTAAATATTTGACATATTATAGTTTCTGAATAAATGTAGTCAAAGAACTTGAAATCGGTTATATGAATTGAATTTATATTCAATTAAAGATTTCTTGCTGTTGTGCAATACACTGTGCTGTTGCGCAATACTTAATAAATCTGTTGCCAGACTATAAACAAATAAAGTTCAATTTCTTCTCAATGTCATATTTGAAATTTATGAAAATCAATAGGGAGACTACATCAATAGCTATAAATAATTCACCAAAGTTTCATGCGAACTGCTTAAAGCATTTTTGAGTTGTTGTCCAAAAGCTGAAAAATCCCCCATTTTTTAATGAATTAAACCCCATAACTCAGAAATGTAAAATGTAAAATTTATAAAATTCTAAAGGGAGCTTACAGATTGATAATTTAGTCTTAGATGCAAGATTTTGTTATCAGTTGTTATTGGCTTTGAACTAGCTGTCAGTAATTGCGAGTACTCTCAGATCTGTACTTAGTGTCTTTTTGTTATTTGGATGTACAACTACCCGGCCACGTCCACTTGTATTTGTATTTATCCATCTGATGAGTTAAGCCTCTTTCAACTGATTTTTATAGTTCGTTCTTATATTGTACTGTTACACCACTGTCCCAGGTTAGGGGGAGGGTTGGGATCCCGCTAACATGTTTAACCCCGCCACATTCTGTATGTACATGTATGTGCCTGTCCCAGGTCAGGAGCCTGTAATTCAGTGGTTGTCGTTTGTTTATGTGTTGCATATTTGTTATTCGTTCATTTTTTGTACATAAATTGGGCCGTTCGTTTTCTTGTTTGAATTGTTTTACATTGTCATTTCGGGGTCTTTTATAGCTCACTGTGCGGTATGGGCTTTGCTCATTGTTGAAGGCCGTACTGTGACCTATAGCTGTTAATTTCTGTGTCATTTGGTGTCTTGTGGAGAGTTGTTTCATTGGCAATCATACCACATCTTCTTTTTTATATTTACATCAAGAGATATAAACAATTCACCAAAGGCGAGGCAACAAAACTTAGTTGTAAGATCTCTGAAATTTTTTACACGGTACGAGTTTTTCTCATTGTTGGAGATTGTACGGTGACAGTAACACCTGTAACTGCTTAAACCCATTTCTTATGCATTTTGGTTCGATAAACTCACTGAATATCATATCACATTCCTTATTTTCATATGCATTACAATTTACATGTGCATGTAATTGTAAATATATATATATCAGAACCAAATTAACTGCATCACTTTTATTTATGCATCCTTTGGCACAATACAAGTTCTAAAATTACACAACATAAAACAACTAAATGTTATTTCAGATGAAAGTTTTGTTTCAGTTCCATTCATAGGAATTATTAGAATTTTGCATGTTTTGCCAAGTCCAATAATTCGCTCTATTTGCACGTGTTAATTGGGGACTGTTCTATCCCGTATAAGAGTTTTGGAACTAATTCTGTTTCTTTTTTTGAAAAAAAGTTAGCAAACAAATCTTGCACATTTAAACCTTTGTCTGCCATCACACTGTCACCAGGATCACATAATTGAACTATTCTACATCTTTCAACTTTTTCACAGTCACTGGTACAACAAAAATATGTATTAGAGACATAGTTGACTAAACCACCAGGTGTCGAACATACAAGTAATTTCAGTGTTTCTGTTTTTATATGATGAAAAAGTTGCCTGAGCTCTAGGAGCTTTAGGTTTTATCACGGGATATTCTGTGCTGTCAATAATAATCCAAATTGTAGGAAACTTTAATTTGAAGTTGGATGGCGAAAAATACCTGACTTAACCACTAGATGGTCAAGTGTTAGCCTCACGCCACTGTTTAGACATAAAAACAATCCATGTATGCACAATATTCTTAACACTAGATTCAATCTAGAATCTAGACAGTTCAAAGTTGGTTGTGTAATGCCTCAATTTCATCAAAGTCATAAAAAAACTGATTTTCAACTGACACCCTATCAATTTGAAAATATATGTATCTCAAACAATGTGCTGCTGGACCAAGTGTGGTCAAAACAAATAAAAATTTAGTATACAACTCTAAACAGGTATAAAAATGCATGGCTGTGTTACGTGTCTTCATTTCAAAATTCTCTGCTGAAAACATATGCATTGATGGTGTTTGCGTAATTCCATCTGTGAAGCTCAACATTAGCTCGGCAGTTAGTGGTGGACAGTCATAAATCCTTTCTGCAGTATGAATGACTTCTTCAGGAAAACCAACTTTACAATCAAAACTTTCCTCTAGATTTCTACTACAATATTCATCAAGTTTAGTTCTTTTGTTTTCACAGGAAACTGCCCTGATTTTTCTTTTTGCGGACGATTCAGTCTCTTGCTTGGTCCAGGAAAATAGGCTGGGAATGGCAGTAGACTTTAGTCTCTGTATGGTGGGTTTGCGCCCTGAAAAAGGTTATAGAACATTAGTTTTTTGATAATTAAATGAACTTCCATTAGCAATGTATACTTTGTACTACCTGGCAAAATATTAACTAGATTTATTCATTACAATCTGGATAAAACTATGCCAATGTATGTTATGTAAATCCAAAGGACAAACAATGAGAGACCTATGCAACAAACATACATTGTTTGTATCTAAATAACTATAATATAGATCTGAGCATGTCATTGTTTTGTTCCTGTTAACATTGTCATTGATATTTTTCAAGAAAGTCTATGAGGCATAGCTTATGCATTCCTGTCATTACTACATTAGCATAATTACTGCTAAAATAATTCTCAGTATGATATACCTCTTGTAAGAAATCATTATAATTGTAGCAATCACCAAAAAATCTCAAACAGATCACATTGAATCGTAATCCAAAAAATTATGACGTCTTGAATTAACCCCCCCCCCCCCCTTTTTATTCTTAAACGATAATTGCGGTTGTAAACAGACTTTGGTTTATTCGCATGGCGATTACATATATAACTATATATTTTAAAAAGAAAATAGAGTTTTACCATGAATAGTTTCCTGCACGTAGTCTTTTTCAGTAAAATATGACTTGCAAACAACAGCTGATTGAGATGGACTCCACGATTTCATCGTGTTCTCGTCCAATCTGCGTATGGGCCATGGCGTTGATCCAACTTTTCCTTCTTTTTAAGTCATTTGGAAATGCATGTCCTCCTCTTAAATGACATCCAGGTACACAACAACAAGTACTTGGCATCGTTAATTAAAAATGTAACTGTAATAGTTGCACAGTGCAAAAACCGGAAGTTGAGGAATAGGATCGGCTACCACGGCGCCACCTATTCAGGAACGATAATTTGCTACTTTATATAACTGCGAAATAACAATAACGTTAGACGGGTTCACGTGCATAAACAGAAATACGCTTTAAATTGTATAATATAATTCATATTCAGTCGACCTTTAATTATTATATCAACGACTGAAATGATTTATAAACATCTAGATTGCAGATAACACTCGAAATTAACCCGACCTCTTTCCACACGGAATTCAAATAATTCTAGTTTGTCAATCGGTTGACTGCTTATAATCCAAAATACAAATATATCAAAAGTTTTTAAAACACAATGATCGTTTCTCTATTTCCCAATGTACATGAAATGAAAAAAAAAACATTTTATATCACAATAAGGGGGGAGAGAATTCAACATTTTCCGGATCTGCTTGGAGCCTAATGACCCTCCACGTAAATAAGTTGGATATCGCAGAAGGAAAGATTAAACCGGCAACCAGAAAGGCATTAAAGCACTGCCTTTAAAAATTAAAGTGTAGGCATCCTGCTGCTGGTTGAGGTTTTCTTTTCCTTTTATTGTTACTGAATTTTGCTATGTTGTTTTGCAGTATGTAGGCTCCCGTTGCTATACTACAGTGACTTATAGATCTTTTCACTTCAGTTACTGATAACTCAATAGATTGCCAAACTAGATGTGGTTTTCCAATTTCGCCGTGTTCCAAACAGAGGTATTTTCCTTGTTGATTTATTAGTTGATGGATCTTTATAAATTTTTGACTAGTAGTTATTAATTGCTGTTTTATATTGATGTTTCCACTGTAACTTGTTATGTTGATTATTCAGTAAAAATTCTAGATTTGGTAGGTCATATAGTTCTAATGTTTTGGATACTATGTGGTAGAAACTTCCTGGGTTGTTGATGGAGATGGAGATCTGGCGTTGGTTAAGTTGCTGTATACTTTCATTTCCGTTGTTTAGGAGACTATACAGAAAGCTCGCTCAGTTGACGTTTGTGTAACTATGCTTCTATGGGTAGTACACCTATTAGTAGATACACGGCACAGAGCGCTGTTCTTTGAGACAGTGATTGGAAATTTCGTAGGCAGTTTATGTGGAGGCGGTTAATATATATGTGTTTAACTAATGGTAGTATTTCAAGTTAAGTTAAGGTATTACATAGCTCCGATATATTTGGTAAGAGGTTATGGGATTTACATAGCTCCGATATATTTGGTAAGAGGTTATGGGATTTAAACTATTTGATCCATGAAGTTAACTGTTCATTAATGAGTAGAGTGTACTGCGAACTTTGGACAGTCTATCCTTCACATTTATTTCATTTTATTTAATATCAGCTCTTATTAATCCTAAATGTTTAGTTTGGTTGGTTGGTGTTATACAAGTAGTGCCGATATTCCACTGTAGGTTTTTCCTAACAGTTTTGCCTCTAGTTAGGATGACAGCAATTGTTTTTGTTGGATGAATTGTGACTGTTCTGTTTTGCATTTCGTAGAACAGTGTTTCGCATAATGTGTAGTTCTTCTGCATCATCAACCGGTAGTGCTATATCATCTGCACATGTGGGTGTGCCAGTGTATATATTGCCAATTTTTATTCTTTTGTGGCTTTTCATTAGTTCATTCAATACGCTGTTAATGTAAACTTTGTACAGGTGAATTGATATGACTCCACTTTGTCAAGAGTGTTTCAAGCAATCTTACTTTATATGATGACATCATACCACTCGTGACGTATGCCAAACATGTCGGTATTCTTCTGAACTGTAAATTTAGATCAATGGACCAGACATTGAATGCGTGCAGAGTGTTGAGAGCAACTGCTCTTTCAGTTCTAAATTCTGGAATTCATCCATCAATTTTTAACCCTTTGACTTGTTCCAAGATAATACTTCAAATATGTTACAGCAAAGCCCTATATGGTTGTGAGTTATGGAACAAGTCGACTCAAACAGAAATTACGATGTTAGAAAGATCTCACAAATTTGTGTGTAAAATCATCGAAGGACTTCCGAATCGAACCCTTTCTGACAAATGTATAAGTCTTCTTGGTTGGTTTTCAATTGAAAGCATTATCAACAGATGTAAACTTTTTTTTTTGGTAGACTATGTAGGTTGAAGTCTTCTGCGTTACCAAAACGAATAATGATAAGCACACTAATGGAATTCAAACGTAAATGCGTTCCAGAACAACTAGGTTTTATTCCTGACATCTATGAAGCAGGCGAAAAATATAATATTACAGATTATAATTTGTGAATTTTGCAAATACTTTTTCTTTTCCATCAAAAAAACTTTGGTGAGTTATTGTAAACCGGAAAATAAAAGCAACCGACGAAACATGGTGGTTATACCGAATTTCATGCGATCATGACTTTTATATGTTTAGACATATTCATTCTGCAATCAAACCGTATAAAGCACGGACAATTGCTAAACAGTTTTCTGAACTTCATGCCTCTTCCAAGTATGTTATTGACTTATGTTCTGTAGTACGTTATGAAGATGAACATTTACTTTGTGACAAATGTGGTAAGTTTTTCTTGAATATTGTTGAACATTTACTGGTATCAAGTGATTTTATACAAGACAAAAAAGATGATCTATGGCAGGACATAATTAACGTTAATCCCATTCAGTTCAGTGTTTTTATGGACAGTCTTTCGGCACATGAATTCACAAAGACAATTCTCTTATGCAATTCGTCATATGAATTAGGAAATGACGAATTAACTTTTTTCTCTAAGATTTGTAACGTCATGTGGAAAAAATCTGCAGAGGTTTCCACAATCAATAGAATATGTGTCCGTTATCGCCATTATTGACAGTGCTAATTTTTTCTCTTCATTTACTTTAAAAAACAGTACCTTAAATTCTTTGTTTTTAATTTTTTGATTTATACATTTCATGTACACCAAATCTCTATCATAGAGGAAATAAAATTATATAATTATATAGTTGGTAGTTTCCATCAGCATGGTCATATACACTCCTAGTCCCAATTTTCAAATCTGCTGCAGTTAACGATGCAGGAAACTATCGTGATATAAGCATTGTCAGCAATCTAGGTAAATCTTTCACCACATTTCTTAATAAAAAAGGATTAAATTGGGCAACTTTCAATGATATTTTATCTGATGCACAGTTTGATTTTCGGAATGGTTAAAGTACAGAGTAAAGTAACAAAAATACCAAACTCCAAGGAAAATTCAAAACGGAAAGTCCCTTATCAAATTGCAAAATCAAAAGCTCAAACACATCAAACGAATGGAAAACAACTGTCATATTCCTCACTAGGTACAGGCATTTCCTTATGTAGAAAATGGAGGATTAAACCTGGTTTTATAGCTAGGTTTAATCTTCCATTTTCTAGCTAAACCTCTCACTTGTATGAATTTGGATAACGTTTTTACTGGATAATTCCAGTCCTAAAAATTTATGGAAAATAATGGAGATGTTAATAAAATCTAATAAGGGGAATAACGCAATTCCACCAATACAAAATATAAACAATGAGCCAAATTTTTACCATATTGTATATGACGATATTGACAAATGTGGACAAAAGAATAAATACTTTTCGTCAATATCAAAACTTGAAGAACACAAAATTTTGAGCTGCCCAATTTGAGAATAGAAAGGAAAGAATAATTAGTGATACAAATAACAGAGTGAAATAGTCGATATACTTCTTACTCCTTATCATAAAAAAAGTATCCGGGCCAGACAGAATCAGTCACAGGATGCTTAGAATATCCTCCAAAAAAATTGCAAAACCCCTTAAAATTATAATTAATAAATCCCGGTGGTCCCAAGGTAAATACCCTTCTTCATGGAAAATAGCCAAATTGTAATTGCCATATTTAAGAAAGCTGATGCATCCCTACCATCTAATTATCGACCGATATCCCTTATTAGCTGTGTAGGAAAAGTAATAGAGAGGGTAGTCTACAAATATATTTATAACCATCTACATAGGAACAAACTTATTTATATATATATCAGTCAGGATTTTTACCTTAACATTCACCTGTACCTCAACTTATTGAACATTATAACACTATATTAAATTCTCTTAAAAAAATTCAGTTGCTTCGTATACTGTGATTTGTCAAAAGCATTTGATAAAGTATGGCATAATGGACTTATACATAAAATGAACTCTTATGGAATAAAGGTGCATGGACTAAAAGTTATCTTTTTTAAGGAAAACAAAAAGTAGTTATCGGAGATTCGTCTTCATCATTGTCTATTGTTTCTGCGGAAGTACCCCAAGGCTCTGTTCTCTGTCCCCTTTTATTTTTTGCTGTATTATAAATGATATTGGCGAACATTTGATTTCACTGACTAAACGTTTTGCTGATGATACGTCGCTGAGATATTCCACCGCACAAACTCAATGTTTGGTAAAATAAATAGTTAATGTCCTTAAACCCAGATAAAACGGAAATTATTATTTGCTCAAATACTAAGATACCAAATAATTTAAGTTTTTCGTTCAATGAAATATCAATATCTAACACATCAAGTCATAAGCACTTTAACTTTAACTCTTTCCCAGGAAGCAAAGTGGAATGAGCACGTAGAAAATATTTCCAAAAATATTACAAAGCATTTAGGAGTCTTAAATAAATTAAATTTTAAGATGAAAAGACAGAACCTAGAAAAAATGTATCTGGTATATATTCGTACTATATTTGAGTGTGCTTGTGAAGTGTGGGACAATTGTTGTATTTGCTATTCAAGCAAATTAGAAAAATTTCAACTGCAAGCTGCGAGGATTGTAACAGGAGTGCCAATCTTTACTAAAACCGATTATTTATATTGAGAGACTGGCTGGGAACCCCTACACAATAGGAGGTACAGAAGAAAGCTCCAATTATTTTATAAGATATACAATGGTCTTGCTCCACAATATTTATGTGATTTAATTCCCCCAACTATACTAAGTACAACTGTTTATCCACTGCAAAATGGCAATGA